GCCAAGATATCTCTTCTAAGTCGTGCAACAATATCTGGTCATGTGAACTCTTTGTTCCATTACTATATATACCCGTGTCAGTGTAAACTACTTGTACCTGATGATGACAAAACCTTGTCGAAACGTTGTACATTTACTGTTATGTTAAACTTGTATTAACGTTTTTCTTCATTCAAGCCGTAACCAAGCTCCTATAAAGAGTATGTTTATATAATGCATATTATACATAAAATTATACTTACCTTTTCTGTGAGCCCTACAGCAAAATAAATAGGAACTTTCAAGTTCATTCGCTCCCAGTAAGTTTCCAACAAAATACACAGTTCCTGAGCTCTTCCAAGGGCAAAAACTGGGATCAGAACCTAACAGCAAAAAGTAAAGCAACTCAGTACTGTAGAGAAAAATGAAAATAATTTTAATTCTGTAAAAATAAAAAAAAAAATGGGTTTTGAAATTTAAAAACTTCTTTGAAATATTCTTCTGGTTTCCATTTAATTCTCTAAAAGGATTATTATTTTTTTGGCAAGTTTTCGTGACCTCCGAGCGGCTCAGAAAATACTTAAAATCGTCAAACTGTGCTTTTTTGAGTTACAAATAATTTTGAGACAAAAGTTTTCAATCTTACTTTTCCATTTTTCTCGATGCAATCGTGGACCTTTGTTAGAAAATCTCGCTCCCTACACCTCTTGGAATCTCGTATGGTTGTGGCGTAAGTTGATTCCGTGATGAGAAGATCTGGACGACACTTGTCAATCCATGCAGCTCCAAGGTGACGATCAGGTGTCATATTGTAGTCACCCTTGGTAAAAACAGATATACGACAATAGAATTCAAGCCTGAATGCAGTCTTCATTCACAGTATAAGTTTGGATTCAATCTAAGTAGCTTTTACAGCTGAACTATTTCAAGAACTTTAAGACAGAAAGAGTACGTAAATAGGTTGCTAGAGTTTTAATAATACTTTTCTTTGTTAACTATGGCAGCATAGTAAAAATCCTCATGTTAAGAGGGTTTGTTTTCTCTACTGACAAAAGAAAAATATGTAGAAATGTACAAACTAAAGGAAAAATAGTGTAAAAATACACATGAAGACACACAAAATTTAATCTGATCAGCACTGCTAAAAAGGTGACAACATAAAGATGGGTAGGGAGAGAATACACACTACATTAATAACAAAAACTGCATTTGATTGGTAAAAATTTACAAAAGTAAACAGCTAAATAGCGTTCTGTTTATTATAACTGTGGCAACGAATCCTAATACTGATGGAGAATTAACATGAAAGATATAAAAAACTTTTTATTATTTGCAAGATAGTTACTGGCGAGTTGAAATTTCTAATTTATTGCTTCTATCACTTCCTACTCTAGAATCAAACTGGAAATAGTGCACTAGAAATTCCAACCCCCCCTCAATGTCCAAACTGTCTAAAAGGCCAATGAAACAAGATTGTTACTTCCTAAGATTAAAAATCACTTTAAGTCATGGATCTCAAGCACACTGTGTACCCTCAACAACTTAAAACACTAAATCAACAATAACTTCCACTATATAGTAGAGCTGGCTTCACACGTTTGCTTTTTATGGATGAAATAAATTCATAGCTTGAATTTTTACAGGATTTTCAAGAACAAACATTTTTCATACTATGTCAGTTATATTTCTCATGTAAAAAATATTAGGCTTATCTTATGTTTAAATACTACATTCTTTAGTCAGTCCTTTAGGAAGTTTCAGAGATGAAGAGTGTATAATAATATTTCAACTAAACTATGTCTGTCCTATCCACTGCTGGCTGATGAGCTCTGGTATAGAGCAAAATGCAATGTAACACTGCTCTTTATCAAGCTATATAAATGAAATGTGAGATTCCTCCTTATCAAGCTAGATAAATGAAATGTAACAATCCTCCTTATCAAGCTATATAAATGAAATGTAAGATTCCTCCTTATCAAGCTATATAAATGAAATGTAAGATTCCTCCTTATCAAGCTATATAAATGAAATGTAAGATTCCTCCTGACCAAGCTAGATAAATGAAATGTAAACATACCTTCTAGACCAAGCTTAGATAATAGAAATAGTAAAAACC